GAAATAGGCCAAATTAATTATGGGGCTACCTTCTCCCTCAGAGCTTACAGGTGGCGCGCCCAAGTTTCTGAGGTGAAGGTAGTCTCTCTTTTAAAATGTCGGTCATTTATCCAAATTATTATTGTAGGTCATCTTTGTACTGTCATTCGTTTTGAAATAGGCCAAATTATGGGGCTACCCTCTCGCTCAGAGCTTACAGGCGGCGCGCCCAAGTTTCTGAGGTGATGGTAGACTCTCTTTGGAAATTATAATTGTAGGTTATTTTTGTAGTGTCATTTGTTTTTGAAATAGGCCAAATAATGGGGCTTCCCTCTCCCTCAGAGCTTACAGGCGGCGCGCCCAAGATTCTGAGGTGAAGGTTGTCTCTCTTTTAAACTGCCAGTCGTCAACCATAGTATTATTGAATTTTCATTTTCCAGAGTTCATAGTGGCAACTTCTTTATAGTTTTACGTGATTTGTGTCAAAGACAATACCAGGTTAACAAATTTATTCTACTTTATGCGTGGTGCGACAATCACCGTGGCTGACTGGCCTCCAAAGTTCCTTTATAATTTGGACGCTTCTCAGGAGTTCCTTCACTGGTTGTAATCCAGAATTGGCGATTCTCAGCAGCTTGAAGCTCTTGCATTGCATCAGTTGGTCCATGGACGGCGACCTTTTCTTGTCCCGAGTACAATATCGATTCTCGATTCTCGATTCTCGACTCTCGATTACCGTATCTTGCTCGTGCAAGGCTTCGGCAACGGGACAAGTACTAAGACCATTGCAGGAAAACTGTTTGGTAGAAGAAGAGTAAAATGGTGGCTTTCGGTGAGTTACCTGTCTGATGCTCGGTATATCACTGCCAAACTGCGCAACAGAATGTGCGAAAAAACCCACCGGTACTTGAGAAAATACGATTTTTAATATCCACCTAAAAACTTGAGCGATGTGATTTAGTAACTTATTCATGGTGTTCAGCTTCCGGTTTATTCAGCTTATTGCCAGTTGTAGGCAAAGTTCACGCGCACATTATCGCACTCTAACTGGGTCGATTGTGAGGAAACTGTTATGTCAGTCATTGACTAAAAAGCACCGCGCGTTAAGTCTTTGTGCGACGGACGTCCCTTAGAAATATAAATTGCCCACACTGATCGCCAATTCTACTTGCAAAGTGTTGCTGATTGAGTTGTGTAATGTATTCTAGAGAGTAAATTTAGTACTAACCTCGCAGAGAAGGATGTAATGAGGCATTTATTTGCGTAGTTAGGCCTGCTATCCATTGGGCAAGCATCCCTTTTATTTTCTTTCGATAGCCTGTCCATGCACTAACCTTTGGGTACAGAAACTAGCTGCCCTTCGCAGTACCAAAACTTGATAGTTTTGGCGTTCAATATTTTTAACGGGTGCTCACAAAACACCGGGACTGCATCGTGCGCCTTTGGCGCTTTGGTACCCTGCGAGCTTTGGTTCATCGCGTTTTGAAAGATGGAAATTTTGATATTCCCGCGTAAAAGAAGACTGATAAAACGTGTCTTTCATTGACTACAGTGAAACGCCCGGAAATGACGGATGTTTTGAAAGAAACGGGAAAACTGATAAAATTAAATATTTGTTTTGATAAGTGAAATTAATGAGAAATAACCATAAACTAGTTTTGTTTTTTTGTTTTTTAAAAGCGGTTTTTCTGGTACCAGATTTGTACAATTACTTTCAATCAAACATCGATCGGGTTTTGTTAATTATGACAGAATGTAATTAAAAAGCATTATGTTGACAGCTACAAGGCACATGCTTGCCTTAAGCTGCTAGTATCCCGCCATGTTTTAAACAAAGGGTTCTGACCAAGCCGGCATTCTAATCCGCCACAAATATGTGAAGCACGCGTCTTTCAAAGTCGCCTAGTACTTAAAATCGGGGCTCTGGCCTGTTATGCTCCTAGCCGCCTTTTTTCCCAGACCTCTCACTGTCGCTTGAACAGTAGGCTTTGCAACCTCACACTGATGTTTTTGGTTAGCCTCAGTTGTAGAACTTTCTATTGCGCATTTTTCATAGCAAAGTGTTAACTGTGAAGACAGGGTTGACCGTTGGTAGTAAAATGGCCAAACATAAGCAGTAAAGAGAGTTATCTATAAAATTAACCCTAAAAAAAAATTGGTTCCTAAGATTTGCCGATCTCTAGTTAAATTAATATCTTTAGACCTGTTATGTGTCTTGCTTCGCCGCTAATGTAGACTTAATGTGGTTACTTGTGGCGACACATTTATTGTGTTACGTTGGGCCAGGCCACTTTAAGTTCATAACGAGGGTCGGGAGTCTCCCTTGTCCTGCCTTTTGAAGGAGGAGTTAAACGCTATCGGTTTCAACTATTATTTCGGTTTGTGCATAGAGCGATGGCCGTAGGAGGAGATCAAAACTAATAGGAAGTTTTAAGACAACAATAAAACTCCATGAAGAATACCGGACCCTTTGGTGGATACGCGAAGTTCACTTTGCGGCAACCGGAATTTCTAATCTAAGTATCAGTCCACGAGTTCCACTCAGTTAACTTTGATTTTTTTTGGCCATAAAAACTGGCGAAGATATTTTTCCAATGTGCAAATCCCTTTTCTCGGCTTGGTTTGATCCGACCGCCAATGAAGATTTTTCATTAGTATTCGGTGAGCATGTTACTTTCGTGGGGAACGAGGGAGAAATTTAACACAAGCAACTTAACTCCCCCCGGCTCCATCCCTCCTTTCCCTCCTACTAAGACTGGCGGCTAAAACCTGCAATCGGTTTTTAATTTTGTCGCAGCATCATTGTAGGCGCTGCCAGCGACTAAGTCGTTGGTACATTGGCTGCATGTCATGCAGAACCAGGCCACCATAGAGGAAGAAGACGCTCCTAACTAAACTAACGACTGAAATATCAAGTTACCGCATAGAACCGACGGACAAGTTTGCCACACATATGTTGAAGGAACCTTGTAACGGATTTAGAAGCAAACAGGCGCCAACACAAATACAAGGTAAAAGTCGTTTTAATTTTAATTCGTTACAAAACGAACATATGTCAGACTGCTGAGCAATGAGAAATTTTACAATTCCTTCTGAACTGCGCCCCAACCTTTCAATTTTTTAACAACAATCCCTGCTCCTTTGCGTAGGGGTTCTCACAAACTGCCCCGCCCTCCATCCACAATGACATTCGTATAGTGCTTTAAAGTGTCTAATCTTGTATAACTAACGAAACCGACCTTTTTGGATCCATATGGAAAATGCAGCCTTGTAGTCTTAATAGCGAACAGTTTGATAGGCCCAGGTTTATAGAGGTGACTCCCGGGCCACCCTTCTCGCCGAGCCAACTTTTCATTAACATGTTAACGGTTCGGCACGTTTTGTTGGAATTGGGAAATGCACAGGGGCACCCAACGATAGTTTCCTCCTAAATACGTGGAAAACACTTTTTGGGCTATCCAGAATAGTTTTATATATCTAGAAATGCACTCTAAGCGGCGCTATAAAATTTGTATCTGTTCGGTCATCCTAGGGGAACGTGAGTCTTTTCGAAATTACAAGCGCTTGAGTATTATTTTTTCCGAAAATTTTAGATGAAATTTGACGTATTACGAAATTGAGACATTTTCTGATTCCTCTCGCCATCACATTTTTGAATCCGAAAATTTTAGGATCCCTTTTTTTCCTACGAAAAATAGCCTAACTTAGGAAGTAAAGTGTGAAAGTCTGAAAACCCGTAGGGAATTTATAAGATAAGCTTCGAAAGTTGCAAATAGCTGTAAATTAAATGAACGGAACGGTCAGTTAGACATTTGTGGCAGTCCTCAAGTAATAGAAAACTATAGGCAATATTTGCTCTTCCGAACATATATTTTACAGAAAACAGTCGTTAGGAAACCCTGAATGTAGGATAATTTGGCTAACCCAGGGTAGCTCGAGAAGGCGAGTAACCCTTCCTTACAAGGAGGGAGGGTTACCCTTGTGCTGGGGTTACCCTAGCAGGCCGGTTTAAGTTAGCTCTGGTTTACAAGCAAATTTCACAGGGAGGGTTACCCTATCACCCGGGTCAACTTTACCAGCTTTGCTGACGTGTTTTGTCATGCGAGACATTCTTTGTAACGTCCAAGATTTGAAATAAACTTGAAGTTCTCTATGGAAAACACGTTAAATTCACGAAAATAGCGAAAATATTATCATCGTATACAGAAAATAACTTTTTACTTTTCAGATGTTTATAATTAAGCTCAGAAATTGGATAATACCGTTCAAATTGGCACGATTAGTAGTCACGCATGACCGCGAAAGTTGACCGGGGTAGGCGAGCTATCCCTAGCTTAGCGTTTACAAGGCAGGTAAGATAACCCTCTTGCTAGGGTAACCCTAGCACTCAGCTAGGGTTACCCTAGCGCTAGGGCAATCCTAACTGTCTTGCAAACACGTCGTGTGAAAAAAGAATATGCGAGTGCTATAGGTTAACTCTCCTGCTTGGGTAACCATAGCACCAGGGTTACCCTCCCTTCTTGTGAACAGGGCCTTAGACACAGTTATCAACAAAACCATGTGACATTTGACAATTCTATGTATTGTTATTCAGTTGGCTAACTTGGTGGCCTCCCCCTTTCCTGGCGTGCTTTAACTTCGTTCATATAAAACAAATCCCGAATCTAAAGATCGAAGCTAAAGAGAAATAGCGCTAAACATGTTGAAATATCACAGGTTCTTACTTTATACGTCCACTCAGTAAGTCGCATCCTAGTTTAAACGTACGTGTCTAAAATAACTTAAATGTGGACAATACATTAAAGCTAATGAAAAGTATCTTTAAGTACTAAGCCTCCTTGTGAATCTTTCACAGTATACATTAGGCGTGATACATAGCATATTTATCTCCTGTAACGCAAGTTTAGCGTTCCTGCCCAAGGGATATCGCAACCGACCGTTGAGGGGCGATGGAAATGGCGACAACGGCGCAGCTTTTAAAATTCTCGACCAACAGCACAACCGACCCATCTCGTCTTTTTTCATGTCTTCACTTCGTACATTGGGTTCATAAATGTTGTGGTTGTCGGTTTGAAGATCGGATTCTCAGCCTAGTGTATAAATTAAAGAAAAATAACAAAAGAAAAACAAGTCTTTGGTACTGATAGAAATTGGCAAGAGCTGGGTTAAATTACTGCGAATTCCGCGTAAAACATGAAATGCCACTAATTATTTTCGCACACAAGTGTTAGCCTACTCGCCTTTCGATTGTGATTCTGTCTGGTATTGGTATCCAATTCTTCTTAACAGAAATGTTTTTAAACAGCCACAGTAATAAGGTATAATTTTATACCGAATCTTTCCTTTAAATTTGTTTAATCAGTAGGGTTCGTTAAAGGGTTGCTCTACCTAGATCTGATGGCCTTATTTTAAAACAAAATACACAAATTCTCTGGAAACTTACCACAACACGCTTTGCATTCATTTGCTCCTTTTCAAACTGCGCAAATGCTCTTCGATCCTAGAAAAATCAACACTTAGGACTTACTTTAGGCGCCAATTGCAAGCACTGTTGTTGGCTCCTGTGCGTTGGCAGCGCGATTTCCAAAAAAGGTAGTATTCGTGATTGCACGACTTTTGAATGGCTTTTCAAGTTTCGTTTGATTTCAAAGGTCGTGCAGTGGTAGAAATGATGTTAAGCTTGCGTACAAGCATCTTCTTTTCATTACGGTTGGTAGGACATAGGGTTCGTGTGTAACTTCCGCGATAAAAGAAAAGACTATTTTATCCTCAAAGCTTAAGAAAGTGAAGGGTATTCAATCCGTCTTGATGCCACACGAGTTTGAACTTATTAAAGCTTTAAAATATTCATCTCACAAGAAGTATGCCGTGTTGTTTGGTGCTGACAAGGAGAGACTAGTCTTATAATCAGAGAACGTACGTTTCTTTACAGGGTACAATTAATTTTTAAATTCTAAATTTTGACTTCAACTTTATGCTCACTTTAATTATTGTAACATGGGCGTAAAGCTACCACTTATTAATGTGCACATTGATTAAGAAATGTTCTTAGAAATGTTCTTAGAAATGATGATGACAGGGGGGAGCTTGTACAGGGGGGAGCCTGTTGCGGTAGTTTCTATGGATCTCTCCAAAGCGTTTGATGTTATTCAGTATCCACTCCTCCTTTCGAAACTGAGGGCCTATGGTATGGACGACAAAAGTTGTGCCCTAATTAGGAACTATCTCTCTAGCAGAACTCAGAGAGTTAAAGTTGGAGACACCTTTTCGACCTGGGAAAGCGTCAAGCGTGGGGTCCCGCAGGGGAGTGTGTTAGGTTCCATGCTATTCAACATTTTCATAAACGATCTTTTCTTCCACGTCAAGAAGGCCAAGTTGAACGCTTATGCGGATGATCATCAGGTATACTACTCCCACGTCGATCCGGCAGCTCTGGATGCATGCGTATCTCATGATGTTGGCGTGGCCAATCAGTGGTACCATGAAAATGGGATGTTAGTTAATGAGAGCAAGCACCAGTGTCTAATCCTCGGTGATACGGAGTATGGTTTTTCCTTCCCAGTAAAGGACACGTTAGAGATTTTTGGAATGGAAATAGATAATAATCTGAATTTTTCTAAACATATATCAAATGTATGCAAAAAGATTAAAAATCAATTTAATGTTATGTTGCGCTTTAGAAAACTCATACGCAAGGAAATCTTATTCAAACTTTACAAAGCGTATATTTTACCTCACTTTTATTATTGCTCCTCTGTCTGGCACTTTTGTGGAACGCGCGATGCGGATAAGCTCGAAGCTTTAAATAAAAGAATACTTAGATTTATACTTGGAGATTACTCGTCTCCATACAACACTCTTCTCTCAAAAGTCAGCTCTACTTCTTTGTTTAACAAACGCATTCAAAATTTCCTCATTCTGTTATATAAGAGTTTGGTTTTCACTCATTTTCCTACTTATATGAAGAATATGTTTTCACTCCGGTCCTCTTCCTATGATCTTCGTGGCAACTACATTCTTTCACTAAGTAAACCTAAAACAACTACCTATGGTCTTAACTCCTTTTCTTACTTTTCAGCTAAGCAGTGGAATGCACTGCCGGACTTTTTTCGTACCAGTTTTTTTGCAGACTTTAAGACTAAAATACAGGATGTTACCTTCATGTAGATTCTTTTTGCCTGACATACTTAAACTTAAAATTGTGAATTGTAAATGATATTTTCTTTCCTTGCATTTAATGTATATATATATTTTCTATATAGTTTTTATGTAGTGTCAGCTCGAAGATATTAGCTTGTTAGCTACTCTAAAATTCGAGTTTAAATAAAGTTTTATGTATGTATGTATGTATGTATGTATGTATGATAATAAAAGTAATAATAATAAAAAAATTATTATTATTATTATTATTATTATCAGATATTTAATGATGGCAGCTCACAGTGAAGTGCATTTGACTCAAGCAAATCCGACTGAGCCAGAGGGTGTGGACGAACATTGCGTGATATAAGCCTACCTGAATGGTGGCTAACACTCTCCATATAAGCAACAAAGCCAAGGCTACAGCTAAAACTGCTCCTATGACGCTAACAATTGTTGTTGTTGTTGTTGTTCCTAAAATGGCATTCATCGCGGCTAGACAGTCTAGAATGGAAATGCAACGAAAGCATTTTTAGTAACTCACAAGGCTTACAAGAAATAACCTTGCCATTGATGTGCAATAATCTCTCAAACTTCACAGAGTGAATTATCATTTCAGTCACTTAAACAATCAAACGCCGCCAAATCCCCGGTACTATTTTTTTTGTCTTTAAAGTTGGCTTAAAGACCTTTATTTTTCTGGGTAAAAATCTTGAGTTGACCGTCTGGTCCTTCCGTGTAGGCGAAGGTCAGGTAACAGTCCTCTTCATCCAGAAAACGACATTGCTTACCCATGTCTAACAGATAAAAACAACAGAAAGAAATAAATTGTTTAGCCTATATCAGAATGGAAAACAGCATGGTAAGATTTTCACACAGTTCCTTTTAGTACACTCAATCTGAGTTCAAGATGACTGAATATATTGGCCAACTGGTCTTTATTACTTTGCTTTTCATGGACCAAGACGCAGTCGTCTACAAGTAGATCAGTAAAAACGCCACAAAAAAAGAGCACGCGTAGCATTAGAATCGCATGAAAAGTGTCAACGAGTTAACTTACCAGGTGTAAGCTTATCTACTGGAGTAATGCTGTAATCTTTGCAAGTTCTTGAACACTGGTCTTTGTCTAATTCCCCCGTGCCAAACAAACGGCACTCCACGCATGCCCGGTTGGCCTCGCAAGTACCAGTGCAGCCCTGCAATACAAATAGGTCCGCAATGTGCATGTAAGCAAGTTAACAACAAATAGTATTTTGTACAATAATATGATACGTTTTTATAGCGAAGCACTCTCTTCGTGGGGTGGGGTAGTCGCTTGCACTAGAGTCAATCGCTCTCCTTCCTATCTTTTCGGCCAAGGTGAATAAAAACCTCCTAGATCTGCATAATTCCTCATATCATACTCAGCCTCATTCAATAGCTTTTACTTGATCTATAATTAGTCGTGTTCTTGGGTTTGCTAGAAGATGGTAACCTGTGAAAGGTCAGGAGCCAAGACCAGAAGGGTTCCCTGCGGTGCACTTACCACGCAATCATCGCAGAAAGTTCCCCTGTAGGGCAAAGTAGCATTACAAACACATGTCCCGCACCTGCAACTTCCTCTGCCGCTACAAGCCACCTAAAACGATAGGAAAAATCTTATCGTTGATGTGAACAAAGAAGTAATAATTTGAGCCTTTTGCTTTTGTTTTTTTCCTCACCGAGTTTTGACAACCAGGAGACCTGCAAGAATATTTTCTAATAAAGTCTAATAAATGCAAATTACGAGACGACAAACTATACTCATTAGTTGGGAGATATAACCATTATGTTTTTAGTGAATACTTTAAGTATTTTTTATTATTGGCACGTGGCCACTTTCTTTCACCTTCAGTAGCGAAGCTCCACACGGCACCATGGGTTAGAAAATCTGGTAACATATGGGTGCGTCAAGGCTGAAAAACCGTCCCTGGAGGCTCTTGGGAAAGGGAGTTTTGAGAAAACAAGTAGAATGCTCAGGTAACATTTTTTGGCGGGAAATCGCACCATGCTCTTTCGCATGATGACCGTCTTCGACTTAAAACAGCAGTGGGGTTTATTAACTTTCTTCCCCTGAATTAGAGAGGGGGGCTTAAGGTGATTCCTTAGTAAAAGAACGTAACATAGATTGTAGATGAAACTTGGTACACTGATGTAACAAGTCAAGAAGATGATAAAAAAGTAATAAAAAGTGCGGGTCACCGTGCTTGTTTTGACGACAAAATGCTGACAAATACGGCTATTTAGGACCCTTTTACAAAAACCGCGGGCAGCCCAAAACTAGACAAAAAGGAGAGATTTTTTAAATGATGCATGTGTTATTGCACAGACTTTGACTTAAATGCATTGTTTATTCATTTACGTACCAGAAAAATGCCTTTAATGCCCTTGTTTTTACTTTACGCTCCCAAGTAGAATTAAATTGGACACGCGCTATTCGATCCGTGATAGCTCAAACCAAACAATTTAGTAAAATTGCCAAAAAACTGAACATACATTTGTGCCAATTTTTTTCTCATCGAAAGGAAGCACTGTCCTTATTAAAATCATGAAATAAAAAATGGGGGTCACTGTTCTCGTTTTTGCGGTAGAGCTGCAGAAAGTAGGCACCAAATGCATTTTCCTTGATTTTTGAGAGAGGACTGGAGCGAGTTTCAAAATAGAATGTATGTGAAAGGGGGAAGAAAGTATTAAAAAATCCGTTTTTACAGAATTTACTTTGAGATATCAGATTTAGGACACAACGTGATAAAGAAAGCGTTTAAATGAAAATCAAAGTGAGTAAGCACAAGTTAAACATCCACTATCGAGGTTCTCCGTGAGGAAGTCGAACTCAGCAACACGCCTACTGCTTACGTTATGCACATTCCCAACACATTGAGTCTCACCTCGGCAAGGAACAACGGCAAGCAAAAATTCCAACTAGCCAACTTCATTTTAATAATGTTGCATCACATGCTCTTTTTTACGGCGGCCATCTTGTTATGGGCAGTAAGAGATGCGCAGTGCAAAACCAGGGAATCAGCTTAATAGAGGATTTACGGTAAGTCAGATAAATAAACTATAACTGCTTTTCTATATTCGCTTGACAAGTGCCTTAAACGTCTGCTCTTTACTTCTAATAACGACAAAATATATACATGTTGCTTGTGATCATTTTTCTAGTTTAAGACTTACCCCATTCTTAGTGCAGCTCTCTAAATCTCTACTGCAGCTACATGAGGGCCCTGTCCAATTCCTCTGGCATTTGCATTGTCCGCAGTCGCAAAAGCCACGCTCTGTGGGATGAGATAAGTAATGTAGATTCTTACATTGATGTTAAAAAGGGATCTATCCATAACGTCACATAAATGTATATAAGACGCAACTGGCAAGGTAGGCTGTTTAGATTGGACAGATTTCGACTAATTGAATCGCAGTAACCGCAACAGAAGTTTGCAAAAAAAAAGGGGGGGATATCCTCGCATTATGTTAGGGTAAATGTGCAAATGTTTTGTTCGTTTAGCTCCTAGCCATCCTCGTTATCATAATGCATAATTGTTTTATATATAGAGGATATTACATGGCCGCGCGGAGATACGAAATTTCTCTTCGAGTGTTGCAGCGCGAACGAGTGAAATATTTTTTCAACACGAGAAGAGAAATTTCGTATCTCCAAGCGGCCATGTAATGTTCTATTTATTATATAAACACCAATGAAATACCAAACCATTTCACTTTAAAAGTTTTTTGGTGTGAAAGGTGGGGTTTATTGTGAAGCCATAGCAACAGTGATATTTTCACACGCGAAGATAACATGTTATTTTCACATGTGAAGATGTCAAGTTTTCTCCAAAGCTCGCCTGGTATTTCATTGGTGTTTATAGAGCGGTTTTCACTTGACTGTCGTAAAACCAAAACCAAAGTAAATACACTAGCCAACAAAAGGGCGTAGTAAAACCAAAACCAAAACCAAAACCAATCCCTTTCGACAGTCAAGTGAAAACCACTCTATAATAAAACAATGTCTTCTTTTCTCTGTATAAGCTATCGGAAAATGTAAAATCAGTCTCTGTTTGGATGCAATAATAAAAGATGTTATTTTCGTTGTTGTTGTTGTTGTTGTTTGTGTGTTTAAAAAGGAGGTACGCTTACTTTGACATGGGATATATTATAATTTAGTGGATACGATTTACTAAAGTATATCATTAAAAACTTTGATTCGTTTAGGATAATGCAACGGAAATCAGAAGTGGACCAAAAGATTTAGAAAGGGGTACTCGAAACACTTGCTAGTTATATTAGCTTCTATTTATTTTAATCAGAAGTTTTGAAAATGATACAAAATTGTACAAAAAAGGGAGCCTCCCTCAAACCACTCCTAAATCCGACCTCTATGGAAATGGTTGAAATAAATGTGAGATTTTTTTTGTTTCACTGAATTATAAGGCTATAACAGTGACCTAATCTTTGTTCTCAGATAGTCTGAATTAGCTGCTCAAGCCATGTACGTATAGCGGAATCTCATGAGCCTCTATATAACGAGCTCCTCGGTATAGCGAACAATTTCCTTTACTCCAGAATAGTAGAAAAAGGAAAAGAAACTCGATAACGAAACCTGGTCATAGCAAACCATTTTTGCTACTCCCTTAGCCCTTCTTTACATCGAGGTTTCACTGTAATACAGTAAACGGTGTGGAAGTACACGCCCCTTGTCAAGCCTACCTGAGCCTCCACATATTTCTCCATTATCTGGGTCTTTGGGACAACTGAAGCTATCGCACTCACACTCGTCACCATAGATCAATCCATTTGAAACCTGTATTGAGAAGGAATGAATAATTAACCCTGAGTATTTTACTTGAAATTCCCGAGTAACGGATTAGCGGTCTTGGTTCGTTTCTTGAACCAGCCCTGAACAACATAATCCAACCTTGTTAAAGATAATCTACCCTTCAATTTGGATCAGTTTGCAAAAGAATTGAATATAGTGAAGAAATATAAGGTCTTGGGTTTTTCGTTTGAAACAGATCGGATTAAATTAACCGGGAAAAGCGAAGAAAGCGTGACGATGAAATATTGAATACGTTGGTCAATAGCAGTGCCAGATCCAGACCTTGAAAAAAGGGGCCGAAGGGGGGGGGCGCTCTCCCAAAAAATGTTTTTCGCCCCTTAGGGCCTCAGTTTGGTCTATGGATCCGCCACTGAATAGTAATTTAAGATGTGACTTTCATCTTGTCGTCTCCTGCTTACCGATCTTGTGATCCCAATAATAAGGGTAGATCGGTAATGGATTGGCACCCAAATTATCCAGGGGGAAGTGGTTACAATCCCGTGCCCTTCAACTGTTTAATAAACGCGAATCAGGAAGCTTTGGCCATATGGGGCGCGTGTGATAAGTCATTTTCATTTCCAACAAAATTATAAGGACTTACCTCGCTGTTATTGCAGTAGCATTTTCCACATCTACAGGTTCCTCGGCCCCTACATGTTTGGCCACTACTGTCACTAGGATCAACACAAAGTGTCAATAGTATCAAAAGTATATTATACAACGAACAAATAGGCAGCCTGATGTAATTTTTCCAAGGCGGTCTCACCTCTTTCGATTCCCAGATGGCGAATAGAGTTGAGAAGAAGAAAGACCCTGCTACCGGAACTGGTTTAAGTAGTACAAAACCAAAAATTGCAGTGGTATCTACACCTGATGCTGTTGCGAAATTTAACTGATTGAATCCAACTAATTTTTTTTTATCCATTTCCATTAGTTTTATCATTATATATTATATTCAGTGTGTGTGCTGCTTATTCTTAGTCTTTGCTTTTGGAATAAATGACCATATTTCCTTATGAAAAATTGTTATTGCATCTGCGCGTGGCGTGTCTTATTGGAAATTATGGACACAAACACGGAACCTTGGCACACAAAAGCAAAAGCTTACATTGGCAGTGAGGCAACCCAGTTATTAAAATATTGACGTTAAAACATACAAATCACATGGTCCTATGATTTGGTCTTGAAGAAAGATGAATTTTGGTAAAAAAGAAAGCCATAATCAACTTTTTCCAGGAAAAGGTACACTGCCAACAGTCTCTTATTTTCCTCCAAGACACTGGGGTAGCTTGCGCCGCAAACCTCGACGGACCTGAGAAAAAAGGCGGACTGGAAACAGTCTAAGATAAAGGGACAACCCAGCGCAAATCGTTTAAGTCGCCATGCATTTTTGTTAGTAAGGGAGTGTTTTCTTTTTTTAAGAGGATGAGTTGCAGGACGATTAAATGATTCAGAAGCTTTAGAGCACAAAAACAGAAGACTGAAACACTGTCGCAAGTGCTTATTTAAATTGGAGTGAAGTCAGTGAAAAATGAATACCTTGGACATCCCTTACTCACTTCTTCTTTGGTACATGAACAGTTCTCTCCGGCCCTGAAACAGGTAAAATTACAAAAGTAAAATACAATATAAAGAAGTGAAATAAAAGACGGTCTACTTCAAATCCAAACTTAAATGTATTGATTATTCTAGGAAAAAGGCAAATTTGATTCTTTACCCATGTCATGGGTATATCATTGGAAATGGCGCATGCACTTAACAGCACTCAAATCTTCCATCAATTGATC